ATCACTACCACCAACAGTATCATCACCACCACCAACAACAGTACTACATCACTACCACCAACAACAGTACTATCACCACCATCAACAACAGTACTATCACTACTTAATCAACAACAGTACTATCACCACCAACAACAACAGTGCACTATCAATTACCACCAACAAATGGTACTTATCACTACCACCAACAACAGTACCATCACTACCACCAACAACAGTACTATCACCACCAACAACAGTACTATCACTACCAATCAACAGTACTATCATCACTACCAACAACAGTAATCATCACTACCACCAACAACAGCACGAATAATTAACACCAACAACAGTATCATCACTACCACCAACAACAGTACCATCATTACCACCAACAACAGTACTATCGTCACCATCAACAACAGTACTATCACTACCACCAACAACAGTATCATCACCACCAACAACAAAGTAATTATCACCAACCAACAACAAAGACATCATCACCACCAACAGCATCATCACTACCACCAACAAACAGTACTATCACTACCACCAACAACAGTACTATCATTACCACCAACAACAGTACCATCACCACCAACAACAGTACTATCATTACCACCCAACAACAGGCATTACACCACCATCAACAACAGTACCTATCACTACCACCAACAACAGTACTATCACTACCACCAACAACAACTATCACTACCACCAACAACAGTACTATCACCACCACCAACAACAGTACTATCACTACCACCAACAACAGTACCATCACCACCACCAACAACAGTACTATCACTACCACCAACAACAGTACCATCACTACCACCAACAACAACAGTACTATCACTACCACCAACAACAGTACTATCACTACCACCAACAACAGTATTATCACTACCACCAACAACAGTACTATCACCACCACCAACAACAGTACTATCACTACCACCAACAACAGTACTATCACTACCACCAACAACAGTACCATCACTACCACCAACAACAGTACTATCACTACCACCAACAACAGTACTATCACTACCACCAACAACACTATCACCACCACCAACAACAGTACAATCACTACCACCAACAACAAAACATCACCACCACCAACAACAGTACATCAACAACCAACAACAGTACTATCACTACCACCAACAACAGTACTATCACTACCACCAACAACAGTACCATCACCACCACCAACAACAGTACTATCACTACCACCAACAACAGTACCATCACCACCACCAACAACAGTACTATCACTACCACCAACAACAGTACTATACACAACAACTATCACCACCACCAACAACAGTACTATCATCACCACCAACAACAGTACTCAAACAGACATCACTACCACCAACAACAGTACCATCACCACCACCAACAACAGTACTATCACTCACCACCAACAACAGTACTATCACCACTACCACCAACAAATATAACTATCACTACCACCAACAACAGTACATCACCACCACCACGTACTATCACTACCACCAACAACAGTACTATCACCACCACCAACAACAGTACTATCACTACACCAACAACAGTACCATCACCACCACCAACAACAGTACTATCACTACCACCAACAACAGTACCATCACTACCACCAACAACAGTACCATCACCACCACCACACCAACAACAGTGCTATCACTGCCACCACCAGCAATTGCTATCACACTACCACCAGCAGTGCTATCACCACCAGCAACAGCAGTGCTATCACTGCCACCACCAACAATTACTATCACTATCACCAACAACAATTGCCATCTACCACCAACAACCCATTTTATCACTATCACCAACAGTGCTATCACTACCACCAACAACTTAATTACTATCACTACCACCAACAACAGTACTATCACTACCGCAACAACGGTACTATCACTACCACCAACAACAATTACTATCACTACCACCAACAGCAGTGCTATCACTACCACCAACAGCAATTGCTATCACTACCACCAACAACAGTAATATCACTATCACCAACAACAATTGCCATCACTACCACCAACAACAATTTATCACTGCCAACAACCAATTACTATCTGCCACCAACAACAAGTACTATCACTACCAACAACGGTACTATCACTACCACCAACAACAGTACTATCACTGCAACAACAATTACTATCACCACCACCAACAACAATTGCTATCACTACCACCAGCCAACAGTACTATCACTACCACCAACAACGGTGCTATCACTGCAACAGCAGTACTATCACTACCACCAACAACAGTACTATCACTACCACCAACAACAGTGCTATCACTACACACCAACAACAGTACTATCACTACCACCAACAACAGTGCTATCACTACCACCAACAACAGTGCTATCACTACCAACAACAGTGCCATCACTACCACCAACAACAGTACTATCACTACCACCAACAAAATCACAGCAATCACATCGGCTAAAACAACAACACCTAAACCAACAAACGCAAAACAATAACACTACCACCACCACAATCAACAACAAAACAACACACACACACACACACACACACTAACTTACAGTGTATGTCTGTCTGTATGTCTGTCAGTAAGGTAATGGTAGTTATCAGTGAATCTTGCTATCAATTGACAGTCACTCTATGCTATCATAATGATTTAGTGTCTGTAGATGAAAACGTAACAATATCGTTCATTTACTACTTGGAGACCACCTAACCTAACCTAACCACACCACAATACCAGATGTCCTCTATTTGAACACCTTACACTGTATACCTGTCACCAATCCAACATACAGACAGATTCATAAATTAAATCCAACAAAAGGTAGAATCGCAGGTAGTAATGATCTGCTCCAACACCTGTCATAACTGGCTTTTGTAGTCGTCTACCTGTCATCCACTTTATGGCCAGGTGTGCAATGCTATGTTTTCTTCACTATATTCGCGTGTTTACGAATCTGAATTTATTTAACTCGTGTTATGATCCATCTTGTATTGCAATAATACTGAACCAGAAGTTGTTTACCACTCTGTAAGCCGTCATATGTTCGGATGTTCTTTGGATCAATATTGATTTTAATATTTGTGAATGATATACAGTACTTGTAATATTCTGTGATATTCAAAAGATGAAAACAATTATTTATCTTAATATTTCTGAATTATACAAATATGATAAGTATTGACTGTAATATTTTGGAGTATAAAATAATATTGATCCTCAAATTTTTCGTTATTTTAAGCATGAAAAAAAATATTAACTGTAATATTCTAAAGTATTGAAAATGATAAAACATTAATCTAGATATTTTGGGATATTATATACATATATTTTTAACTGAACCACAAAATTTCAGTCCCTAACCTACACTGACACCCATTTCTCAATACTTATGATACAGAGTGACTTGTGTCTATACCTCCCCAAGCTGCGTGTTATCTTACTACACTCGCGCCAACATTACGTGTTCCTCTCGAGTCCGAAAATATGCAAAAATGACAAATGTTTTCCGATTTCCTCCAAGAACTTAGGCAGGCAGAACGAAGAAACTTTAAAATTCTGGAAGGATTTTTCGATGTCCTGGGGTAGTCGACGGGCCTCTCAGCATAGGAGGAGGAGGAGGAGGAGGAGGAGGAGATGGAAGAGGTGAAGGTGGTAGAAGAAGATCAGAACGAAGACAAGGAGGAAACAGGAGATAGTAGATTGGAGGAGGGAGAGAGATTGGGTGATGAGAAGAGAAAGGGCAAGAAGATGGGAGGAGAAGAGGGAGAAGAAAGAGAATAGATGAGGCAAAAAGAAAGAAGAGGGAAAGGAAAATAGGTGATAGAGGAAGGATGAGACGAAGACAATACATGGGATATAATGAGACGAAAGGAAGGAGATAGGACAGAATGGAAGAGAGAACGAGAAAGAGATATAATAGAAGATCTGGAAGAGAAAATCATAAGATAGAACAAAGGAAGATGATGAACTAAAGAGAAGAATTTCAGAGGAGGGGGGGCAGGGAGGGAGGAGGAGGAGGAGGAGGAGGAGGAGAGGAGGAGGAGGAGGAGGAGAGGAGGTTGCAGGAGAGACAAGAGTGTAGGAGGAAGAGGAGGAGGAAAGGAGGTTGCAGAAGGAAAGAGGTTACAGGTAGCTTGGGGGCATGGAGGAGCTAGTGGATGAAGGAATGCGTCTAGGAAAGCTTGATGCATTTGGGAGAGTTGGGGTCGTCTTAGGAGAGCTGGGGATCATCTTAGGAGCTGGGGGCCGTCTTAGGAGAGCTTGGGGTCATCTTAGGAGAGCTGGGGGTCGTCTTTGGAGAGCTGGGGGTCATCTAGGAGAGCTGGGGGTCGTCTTGAGAGCTGGGGTCATCTTAGAGAGCTGGGGGCCCTAGGAGAGCTGGGGATCATCTTAGGAGAGCTGGGGTCATCTTAGGAGAGCCATCATCTTAGAGAGCTGGGGGTCGTCTTTGGAGAGCTGGGTCATCTTAGGAGAGCTGGGGGTCGTCTGAGAGCTGGGGGTTCACAGAGAGCTGGGGGTCGTTTTTGGAGAGCTGGGGTCATCTTAGGAGAGCTGGGGTCGTCTTAGGAGAGCTGGGGATCATCTTAGGAGAGCTGGGGTCATCTTAGGAGAGCTGGGGGTCGTCTTTGGAGAGCTGGGGTCGTCTGAGAGCTGGGGTCGTCTTTGAAGAGCTGGGGGTCGTCTTGGGAGAGCTGGAGGTCCTGGGGAGAGCTGGGGGCCTTAGGAGAGCCATCATCTAGAGAGCTAGGGTCATCTTTGGAAAGCTGGGGGTCATCTTAGAAGAGCTGGGGTCTCTTAGGAGAGAGCTGGGGGTCGTCTTTGGAGAGCTGGGGTCGTCTTTGAGAGCTGGGATCATCTTGGGAGAGCTGGAGGTCGTCTTGGTCTTGGGAGAGCTGGGGTCATCTTAGGAGAGCTGGGGGTCGTCTTTGGAGAGCTGGGGGTCGTCTTGAGAGTGGGGGTCGTCTGGGAGAGTTGGGGGTCACTTAGGAGAGCTGGGGTCGTCTTGGGAGAGCTGGAGGTCGTCTTGGTCTTGGGAGAGTTGGGGTCATCTTAGGAGAACTGGGGGTCGTCTTGGAGAGCTGGGGCCGTCTTTGGAGAGCTGGGGCCTGTCCTTGGAGAGCTGGGGTCGTCTTGGAGAGCTGGGGGTCTTGGAAAGCTGGGGGTCGTCTTGGGAGAGCTGGGGTCGTCTTGGGAGAGCTGGGGTCGTCTTGGGAGAGCTGGGGTGTCTTGGGAGAGCTAGTCGTCTTGGGAGAGCTGGGGGTCGTCTTGGGAGAGCTGGGGTCGTCTTTGAGAGCTGGGGGTTCGTCTTGGGAGAGCTGGGGGTCGTCTTTGGAGAGCTGGGGTCGTCTTGGGAGAGCTGGAGGTCGTCTTGGTCTTGGGGAGCTGGGTGTCGTCTTAGGAGAGCTGGGGCCGTCTTGGGAGAGCTGGGGTCGTCTTGGGAGAGCTGGGGTCGTCTTGAGAAAGAGGGTCGGGAGCACAAAACCTTCATCAAAACATTAATTATTTATGTAAATCTCTTGACACAGGGCAGATTCCTCGGTTGAAGAAACGTCGAATAATTATGCAAATGAAGTTAAGTCCGAATGAAATGTTGGGTTCTGATTTAAACTGCCTGATGTATTTGTCGGGGGGGACACCTTATTTTACTGAACTAACCATCAAGAACACCTTATTTATTGGAGTAATATCTTTCTTTTTTTTTCCTTTCCTTTACAGGGACCAGCCCACCCTGGCACAGGTCACCGACCCACATCGGGGCCTGGCGGGCGAAATTGTAATAATAATAATAATTCATAGTAAATAAAATTTATTATAAAAAATAAAATAAAATAATAATAATAATAATAATAATAATAATAATAATAATAATAATAATAATAATAATAATAATAATAATAATAACAATGTGATGATAATAATAATAGAAAACTATAAAGAAATTCAAAACTGAAAACAAATATTCAATAGTGAGAAACGCTATATGTATGTTGCGTTATCAAGTAAGAGAAACAATTGAGACCTTGCAATTGTGTGTAATTTATTCAAAGTTTAATTCAATGGAGAAAAAACGATATATTTTAGAGTGAATTAAAAAAAAAACAGTTTCAATATAAGAAAGTTAAAGATGGTTTTGTCGAGAAAAATTAAAAATACTCTTTCATTAAGAGTGAGAGAAAATACTTATTTAAATTTTATTTTTTAAGACAAACTCATAACTGGTGAAGTGAGTTTCTTTGTTCTTATCTGAGATGCGTTATAATTTTATAGAAGGAGAGAGAAGCATAAACAGGTTACGTAAAGTTAGATTGGTTTGGCTAAGTTTACGTTACGTCACGTTTACGCTACAGCACGTTATTTTAGGTTTGATTAAGTTAAGTTGGGTTAGGTAAAATTAGGTTAAGTTGCGTTGATTATGTTAGGTTAGGTTACGTTAGGTTAGGTTAGGGTACGTTAGATTATGTTTGGTTAGGTTAGGTTAGGTTAGGTTAGGGTACGTTAGATTATGTTTGGTTAGGTTAGGTTAGGTTAGGTTAGGGTATATTTATCAAATCACAAAATTCACTTCTCCACTCAGCAACAAATCCCATCTCATCTTCCTGCCGCACCTGTGTATCAAGACGGTACTGTAATAAAGGTGCACATATTTAATAAACTTTAATTTCCTTTCTTGTCGACTAAGATTCATTTTAATCGTCTTGCATTAAAATTACGACTCGTAAATTAGGAGCAAAATAAGAACCCCCAACAGCTGTGCTCTGAGGACTGTGCATAATGCAGTTTAATTATTGTGATAATGTTACATAAACGAGTTATTTTCTGCGTCTCTTACTCTTTTTCTTTCTAAATTCCTCGAAATAAAAATCCACACCTCCTAGCCTCCCCACCCTCCCGAAATCTTGCCACTCCGCCACCACCACCCTGAAAGCAGGTCATAGAGTGTGGTGTCCCCTTCAGTCCACCGCTGGGAAACTGTATTATATTAACGTGTATACTGATGCCATTTTACTCACGCATACCGCTGGTGTAGGAAGAGGAGACGAGGGAGAATGGAGGAATGGGGAATGAGGAGGAATGGGGAATGAGGAATGAATATAAAGGAAGGAATGGGGGAATGAGGAGGAATGGGGAATGATGGGAATGAGGAGGGATGGGGAATGAGGAGGAATGGGGAATGTGGAGGAATAGGGAATGAGGAGGGATGGGGAATGATGAGGAATGGGGAATGAGGAGGAATGGGGAATGATGGGGAATGATGAGGAATGGGGAATAGGAAGGAAAGGGGAATGATGGGGAATGAGGAGGGATGGGGAATGAGGAAGAATGGGAAATGAGGAGGGATGGGGGACGGAGGATTATAACACATGTACCCAAACGCAAAGTGGAGTACAAACACACCAGTCTCCCTCACCTGTATTGCCTAACACCTGTGATCAACCACACGTAGTTAACCACGATTATATTGGTGCTTTCGTTAACAAGGTTGTGATAAGCACTGGTGACGGTGGTGTTGGTATTGGTGGTGGTGGTGGTGGTAGTGATGGTAGTAGTGGTAGTGATGGTGGTAGTAGTGGTAAAGATGGTGATGGTGGTAACTGTGGTGATGTAAATGAAAAAAAAAACATCTTTAAATAGGACGGCAGGACTAAGGAAAATATATATTCCTCCTAAAACGACCCGCCACTCCCCAATCATTTCAAACCTTCCATTAGTTTCCACTGCGACTTGCAAATTGTCCTCCGCTAAACATATTTGCACACCAATATTTGCGTTTCGCTGAATAATCCGAATGTCTTTAAAAGTCAGCCGGGCGGGAGGTAAAAGATGGAGGGACACATCCGTAAGTCTCTCGTTATTACACAGTTCTGCTTCTAATTTGATGCCTCAAGAGTAAATAATAGCGTGTCCTGACTCCATCTTTAGTACTAAGATTCTTACGTTACAAAAACAACGCCACAGACTAACTACATCCAATTTACCATTCACAGGTTTCATGTCAAATTTTTCCAGCATGTTTTCAACCCCCCCCCCCCCAGAAAAAAAATAATAATAATAACACGTACAAGTTCTTTCACTAAACATTACTGAAAAATATCAACTCTGGCTACACGCGACCAACCTTACCCGAGTGAGATGTTGACGTTGTTCCAGGCATCAGCGGGGAGAGGAGACCAAGATGAGTAATGACCTTTAATTCCTTACTTGATAAATAACTTTATCACTTTAATCTCCAAAACATAAAAATACCCGTAATAAAATTAATTAAATTAAAGACAACCAATTATACAATGTTAATAAATCAGGGAAATTAATTCATAATTTTATATTCCCAAAAGATATCATAATTGTGGGAATTAGGCCCCTGGCGACCACCACAATAGTGTAGGAGTAAAATAAGTTACCAGGTAGACGAAGGCTCAGTAATGAAGGTATGAGGTTATCAGCACATTATTTTTCATTGTAATATATTCTTTAATTTCAATATAAAGATACGTCACATATTTGTATTGAGTTACAAGATAGAGGAATTAAAGGGGGTTCAAAATTACACCACCAAGACCCCATAGTAAGGTTGAAGCGTCCTCTCATCCTCAGTCACACACACACACACACACACACACACACACACACACACACACACACACACACACACACACACACACACACACACACACAGACTGCAACACAGCTAACCAAGAAGATGAGGCCACTACTCTCTCTCTCTCTCTCTCTCTCTCTCTCTCTCTCTCTACTTTACTTTCTCTCATTTCTTCTTCCGTCACCGTCTGACCCTCTTCCACCCTCTCCTTCTTCCTCCTTCCCTCTCCCTCCTTCCCCTAATCTTTCCTCTAATGAAAGCTGTACAAATAAATTCTGAACATAAAATATTTAAATTGTATAATGCCGTCATGTATTATAATGTAAATTCCGTTGTAACATAAAATATTCAAACTGCGTGATGTTGCAATACATCGTAATATAAATCTACTTGTAAAATGAAATAAATATATTGTAAAAATGCCATTTACTTATATTTATTTTATATATTGGGGAATTATGTTGCGTCTTTCATGAGGAGTTTTGATTACAAACAGACGTACAGTGACATGAATAACGACTATGCTTATCATCCAAACTCTAGATTGAAGAATTGAATAAATTCCCATGATAAATTTCCTCCCAAATTTAAGAACTAAATAATAATAATAATAATAATTCTAGTTATACTATCAAGGCAAAACATCAACACGCACAACCTGCAAAATAAAATAGATTAATACTCTTTGGTTAATCTTTCACCCCCACGAGGCGTAATATACAAACATCCACTCAATAAGACACACACACACACACACACACACACACACGAAATCTTTATTAAATGGCCACAAATTTGGGCGGAACCAAATTCGTGGGTGGGGGAAGACTGTGTGAGGGAGAATGACAACCAAGACACCAGTATTTTGTATTCCTCTTTTACCAGGTAACATATGACTGCCTTAAAACATATCATTAGTTAATATATTACGACAGAGATATCACCTGTGTCATGGCTACTGATTACCACAACAGGATCTAGTAAACACCTGCCGATTACTGACACAGGTAGTCTTAAACACATGATATTATAAGCAAACCGATAATAAAGTCTTAATGTAATTTACCTGGCCATAAACCTCCACGTGTTACTCTTATAAATAAAGTACAAAACAGAAATACAAAAAATACATCAAAGAACTCCATTTATCAATGAAAGTATTTATTACAAGTCACATTTGTAATAAACGGAAATAATTTATTTCAGACTTGACAATAAACTATAATAATATTGGTTTAATTATTATTATTATTATTTTTATTATTATTATTATTATTATTATTATTATTATTATTATTATTATTATTATTATTATTATTATTAATATTATTATTATTGTTATTATTATCACTATTATTATTATTATTATTATTATTATTATTATTATTATTATTATTATTATTATTATTATTGGTTGAGAACAGAGCGACAGTTTGACACGAGAGTTGCGTTATGGCCAAGACAAATTTAAAAAAAATATATATAAAATGTGCCATGTTTTTTTCACTTGCAAAAAGAGTGAAGGAAAACGAAACAATTTACTAATCTTGTAAAAATTTGCATTTCATCACGTATTGAAACTGGATATAGGAAGTAATTATTAAATAGCAAGATAATTAATGTTTATACTAGTACCCTTTTCCTTATATTAAAATATTCTTTTAATTAACATAGCCTCCGTTGTGAAAAAAATGGATGGAAACAATATGAGAGAATATGTGAGTAAAGATAGTGTTGTGGTGGTGGTGGAGGAGAGGTATGAGGGGCACCACAATATATGCGGGCCGCGTGCGCCAGTAAAAAGGGTGGCGTCCCACGTCATAATGGCCTCGTGGTAGAGAGGCGGGGGAGGGGAGGGGAGGGGGGGACGGTCCGCTAATATTCTTGCACATTCTTTGATGTTTTATTAGTATTCACATCTCACGCAGCCAAATTATCCCTCCACCCAGATTAGAATTAAGATCTGATTTATTAATGACTCAAATTCAAGGTTTGCCTCCCCCGTGCATTCAAATTATACACATTGGCTGTCTACGCCGGGCTCAGGTCACCAGCCCGCGTTATTAACCTTCTCTCGACCTGTAGTGCGCCACCAAGTACACAACTGTCTGTCTGTCTGTCTGTCTGTCTATCTATGTCTGCCTGTGTCTCTAGCTATGCCTTCATCTTCGTTGTGTTATATTAGGAAAGAAGCGTCATATTAATCAGAAGCGACACGTTAACCTGTTCAAAGTTTCCGGACAAAAATATTAAGGTATTTGTGGTGACATGTGTGTGTGTGTGTGTTTGTGTGTGTGTGTGTGTTTGTGTGTGTGTGTGTGTATGTGTGCTTGCTTCCACATTGTACGCATGTAAGCAAATATTATATATATATATATATATATATATATATATATATATATATATATATATATATATATATATATATATATATATATATATATATATAGACAATAAGGGTGAGGGATGAAGGGAGAAAGGGAGAAAGAGAGGGGGGGGGGGTCATCAATCACACGAGCTCCCACATAACATCTCCCCAAAAATACCTGAAGAGCACGGCAGACTCCCACTATGGCGGCGCCCACACAATATTCAGAAAAATCCCTAATTTATTCCTGCCACTGAGAAGCCAAATCTTTTCACTTAGCCCTCATAAAGGAGGAATTTAGGATAATTGATAGAAGAATGTATCATTTTTCTCAACAGAAAACTGTGGGAATTAAATTATGAGGGTGTCATGAAAATATGATATTGCATTATGGTGCTGCCGCGATATGAATTATGGCTTTTCCTTGTATATTCCATCATATATTTTCCATGTTGCTTTGGTCGCCGATTTATGGATTTCGTTCCAGAAAATTTTTGATCAAGGGAAGGAAGACTCCAAGATAGCCAAGAATACTTTATTATCAATATTACATCAAAATCTTACTAGTTTTCCCCAAATTGACGTCCCATGTTAAAACCAGCAGCTGAGTGAAGGGTCTGAATGACAGGCAGAGACGCGTTGATGATTTACAAGACTTCGCTCACACGCTTCAAGGGTAAGTTAGAAATGTCCAAGTCTTCACGTCAAGTTTAAAATAGTGAGGACGAGGACGACTCCCACTGCCTGTCATAACAAAGCGACAAGTTCACCGATTCCTGTTATACTCAATAACCAAACACAGAGATCTGAATACTATCACCCAGTGTGTTGTGGTGATGGTCGTGGAGAGTGAAGGGGCTATGTTGATTTGGAGGTGGGAGAGAGGAGGAGGAGGTGGGGTGGTTTATTGGAAGAGAAGGAGGGGATGAAGGTGGGGAGGGGAGAGGGGAGGTTAGGGAAATGGAGGTAGAGATGACACAAATGGAAATCAGAAGATTGATCTATGGGCTGCCGCGGCGTGAGGTAGAGGAGAAGAGGACGGGATTTTAGTATACGATAGCAGAGGTGCCTGTGTGTGTGTGTGTGTGTGTGTGTGTGTGTGTGCGCACACACACAAACACACTTTCTCTCTCTCTATCTCTCTTGTAGACGGTCTGCGAAATTTGCCGGCAGGACGGATAATATGAATACTTTGGGAAGATGGATGTGGTGATTACCGCTGGATGTCTTGGGGTCTGATGTAGTTGGTGGGTGAGGGAAGGGGGGCAAGGAGGAGGGAAGACGGTCTCAATGTTCAATAGGAGGCCTGATTTCGCCTTTGATTTCGACCATCTGTGTATCAGTAAGAAATATCAGCTCTCATTACTCGACCATCTTGGCCCTACGAGGTTGTCATCAGAGTTTGGTGGGGTTTGAGTGGGATGTATGGAGAGACTTTGATTGGACTGTTGAAATAAGACAGGAGTAAAATACACATCTGGTCAAGCCGTTAGATGATGAAAGGGACAGAGGCAACGGCCGATGGTTTGGTTGACATTACCGAGGATTTCTGTCCACTGTAACGAGCTAGAACGACCGTGATTGTTATGGGGTGTTGGACATGATGGATGGGTGAGTCCTCAGCGATGATCATTCTCTCGGTTTACTCAATTTAATTCACGAGAGCTCATTCTCCTAGCCTGATTGTGGACTCTAGGGGAGATAAAAGACGCTGATTACACTAGCACTGTGTTGAGATTCGCCTCCCCCCCTCCCCCCACCCAACGGGAGATTGGTATTGGCGCCGAGATGCTCCACCGTGATTGGATGCCTGACTGTAGCGGCAAACAATTGGACACTAATCAAGTTACCAAAGTTGTTGTTGTTCTTGTTATGGTTGTTGCATTTGTTGTTGTCTTTGTTTTTGTTGTTGTTGTTGTTGTTTGTGGTGGTGGTGGTGGTGGAAGTAGTAGTGATGGTGACAGTGGCAGTAGTGATAGTCTTTTCTCTATATATCAACGTTTTCTTTAACTATTAAAGATTGTGCTAAAGTCTGCTCTATATTCC